AATAAAATAAATAATTGGGGACCTAAGTGTTGAAACCCAAAGGAACTTCTTCAAGAGCCCCAGGAATAAATAAGCTAATAGTGCATTTCAGATGGGTTCAAGACACCTGTTGGCCCAGCCTTAAGTTCCACTTCACCTTCCTGTCCAGAAACAAAATAAGAGGGCTGGATTTCTAGCAAAGGAGTTAAGAGGTGAAGAAAGACAGGGCTTGTCTGTACCGCCGAACTCTCAGTTCAGCTGGCCCAGCACCAGGTCTCAGCCTCCAGACCTTAAGGAAAAGGGTGGGAAGGGGGCAAGTGGTACGTGGCGTCCAGGAAGATGACCAGGGTCCCGACGCTCGTGAATATGATGAAGGTCCACAGGAAGAGGCGGTCCACTACCATGGCCACAAACTGCCAATCCTCCTTCAGCTGGGGGATAGGCAGAGAAACTTCTATTTCCTAAACTCCGGGCCCAGAAACCCACGGGAAGCCCACCTACAGCTCCATTTACCCGGCCTGGCCCTCCTACCGCGGATTTGAGCAGAAAGCCGGCTGCGCAACGAGACAAACTGACTGCCGGAGATGAATGGGAGTAAGGAACCAGTCGGAAAATAGAGGGCGGGATCAAGTGAGGCAAACGCCCAATCAGAAATGAAAGTGAGGGCGGGGCGGAATTTGAGGGTGGAGCCAAGGTCAAGGAGGCCCTGCTTCACTCTCATTGGACTTACTGCATCGTGGTCTTCCTGTTCCTGCAGCTGCCGAGCGATGTAGCTAATCGAGGAAAGGACCTCTCGTAGCTCAGAAGGTAGACTAACAGCCCGATTTGGACCATCGATAAATCGTCGCAGGTCCGGAGCGGGCAGTTCCGGCTGGAACCTGGAAGAGGCGTGACTGTATGGCCACGCCCCAGGCGCAAAAGCAAACAGCCAGCAGCGGCGATATATGCCCGGCTCCAACTGCCTCCCGCAACAACTTACTAGTACTCAACACCTGAGAAGCGCCTTCAGGCTCTCCCCGAAGCAGTGACCTCTCCAGCTTTATGCAACTTCTTCCACCCCCCTAAGCTTTAGTTTCCAACTTCTCACATTGAGCAGCGGAGGGATACTACAACTTCCACGATGCATGACACAACATCTCCCGGGAGCAGGCATCGCCTGCTTCCGCAGTCTTCTAAGAGCCATGATTTCTACCTCTCGTTTCTGTGTGGATGATGATTGTAGGTCCTACCTGTTGGGTTTGGGGAAGAGAAAATCACTCGGCGGCTTCCGGATGAAATATTCATCTGTACCCCGGCCCCAGCCACTTCCTAGAGAAGAGTGAGGGGGCTCTGGCATCTGATCTCTCTCAGGTTTTGGCCTCTTCAGACCCAGGTACAGAGGGAGCTTGTGAATGAAGATCTGCAGAGTGGAAGAAAAGGAGTATTAGAGGGCGCTCTCCTGCTTTCAGACCAGAAATGAAGCAGATAACCACTCTCCTGTGGTGCGTGCACATAGTTCAACAGAGCAACCTGAGCAAGAAAATGCAGCCATACAGCCTTAAGACCTCATTAGTGTGGAAAGCATCCTACGGTAGCTGGAAAGAGAGGTTCCAAGGGCTTCCACCCTGATCGTACCTAATTCTGAGAATGTTTACCTGGGACCTAGGATGGGCAGTATGAAGAGAGTATGGAATCTATGAAAAGAATTATGGGAGGGCAAAATTAATTGTGCAATGTTTCAATACCCAACAGGCTTTGGCACTTCAACATGCTACTACCACGTATCTATAGTTCTCCCTAAGAACTGTAAAAGGGAAGTTGGGGATGGTGGGAGGGAAGAGTGATATCTAGACAAAAAGCTGAGTGTTGGAATTGGGAGTTAACACAAATTGGAGGAGGATATCTATCTTACCTGCCGGACCCAAAAGGGCATTTGGTGGGTGTGAGGTGAGCGGTGGTGCAGGTTGAGAACCACAACACTAAAGATGACTGAGAAGGTGACGAGGACCATGGTGAACATAAGGTACTTGATAATAATGGGGACTGCCAGGGAGGTCTCAGGCACTTTGTCTGCCAGCAGCAGCAGGAACACAGTAAGGGTCAACAAGGCAAAGATTGAGAGCCCCATCTTCTCTCCTTGGAGGGCAGAGGGGAAGGCAGAAGAATTAGGCTTTGCCAGAAGGAAATCTCTATGGCATAGTCAGTGGCCATTCAAACACAGGCTTTTGGAAGTGCTATTTGCATGCAAATTACTCCCAAATTTGTACCTCCAGCATGGACTTCTTCACTAAAGTCCAGACTCATATTCACTTGCCTACTCAGCCTCCCCACATGGCTATCCAATAAACATCTCATACTTAACATATCTAAAACCTGGCTGGGTGCCCGTAGCACAGTAGTTACAGCCACCAGCCACATACACCGAGGGTGTTGGGTTCGAACCCAGCCCGGGCTAGCTGAACAACAATGATAACTGCAACAAAAAATAGGTATTGTGGCTGGCACCTGTAGTCCCAGATACTTGGGAGGCTGAAGCAAGAGAATCGCTTAAGTCCAAGAGTTTGAGGTTTCTGTGAGCTGTTTCACCACAGCACTCTACTGAGGGTGGCATAGTGATACTGTGTCTCAAAAAAAAAAAAGAAAAGAAAAATGTCTAAAACCTTATTCTCTAATTCTCTTACCAACAAAGCTGCCCCTCACCTACTCTTCCTCACGTCATAAGTGACAACTCCATCTTTCCTGTGGCTCAGGCCAAACTCTTCAGTCAGTCAGACCCCTCTCTTTCTCTCTCTCTCCTTTCTCAATCTGTCTTCTCCTCCTCTCCCCACCCTCCTATTCAATCCATAGCAAACCTTATTGGGTCTACCTTCAAATATATCCGGAAACTGATGACATCACATTTACCACTACTACCCTGGTCCAAATCACATACTTATTTTACTATAAATCCTGCTCTTAGGCAAACTCCTGCCTTTCTCTTAGAAGTCTCTATCACCTGTTCTACAGGTTCCTTACCTATGGTATATAAGCCCTGGGCTGAGGAGTAACTGCTTGTGATCCACCATCTTGAGGCTGCCTAAGATAGGACCTCTGTTCATAAGTCCCTACGAAAAGTTTCTTTCTTTCTTTCTTTTTTTTTTTTTTGAGGCAGAGTCTCACTATGTCACCCTCAGTAGAGTGCTGTCATATCAACAGCTCACAGCAACCTCAAACTCTTGGGCTCAAGAGATTCTCTTGCCTCAGCCTCCCAAGTAGCTGGAACTACAGGCTCCCACCACAACGCCCTGCTAATTTTAGAGGTGGAGTCTCGCTCTGGCTTAGGCTGGTCTCAAACTTCTGAGCTCAGAAGTTCCACCCACCTCAGCCTTCCAGACTGCTGGGATTACAGGTGTGAGTCATCACACCTGGCCCCCTAATGTTTCTTTCTGAGAAACAGAATTTATCAGCCTCTTTCTTCAGCCTCTCTTTTCCCTCACCCTTTTGAGGTAGGTTTGCATAAACCTGATCACCAGGGACAACCTTCATTAGAATATAAACTTCATTAAGTCAGAAACTTTTGCCTCTTTTATTCACTGATATCCTTCCAGTGCCTAGCACATTATAGATACTCTATAAATGTTTCATGAATGAATAGATCAACCCCTGTAGCTTTTTGAGGAACTATATAGCAAATTGAAGGATCTAAAACTGAAGTGTACAAGGATATGCCAGGTGGCTGATTATCCTTGTGGCATACAACAGACATTATGAACTTCAAGAAAGGTATTGAGGGGCGGTGCCTGTGGCTCAAAGGAGTAGGGTGCTGACCCTATATACCAGTGGTGGTGGGTTCAAGCCCAGAATGGCCAAAAACTGGGAAAAAAAGAAAGAAAGAAAGAAAGATATTGAAATAAATAACTTTTGTGGTCTGTTCTACTGTATTCTCATAATGTTGGTTTCTTCTATTCTAGGCAGAAGTATGTTCTGGAGCTGTAACACTCTCCTCTTAACAGAGGACTTGGTGCTGTAAAAGGGGAAAGCACAGTTGTTTACGGGGTTTTTGAGGGGATAGATTCTCACTCTGTTGCCCAGGCTAGAGTGCCATAATGTCAGCCTAGCTCAAAACAACCTCAAACTCCTGGGTTCAAGCAATTCTTCTGCCTCAGCCTCCTGAGTAGCTGGAACTACAAGCACCTACCATAATGCCCAGCTAATTTTTCTGTTTTTCTTGCTTTCTTTTTTTTTTAGAGAGAGTCTCACTATGTCACCCTTGGTACAGTGCCGTGGCATCACAGCTCACAGCAACCTCCAGCTCTTGGGCTTAGGTGATTCTCTTGCCTCAGCATCCCAAGTAGTTGGGACTACAGGCACCTACCACAATGCCGGGCTATTTTTTTGTTGCAGTTTGGCGAGGGCTGGGTTCGAACCCGCCTCCCTTGGTATATGGGGCTGGTGCTCTACTCACTGAGACACAGGTGCCACCCTAATTTTTCTATTTTTAGTAGAGATGGGTTCTCGCTCTTTTTCAGGCTGGTCTCTAACTACCGAACTCAAGCAATCCTCCCACTTTAGCCTCCCAGACTGCTGACAAGCATTTATTTTCTTTCTCTTTTTCTTCCTGTTTTTTGTTTGTTTGTTTGTTTTGTTTTGTTTTTTGAGACAAAGTCTTACTCTGTCACCCTGGGTAGAGTGCCATGGCATCTTAGTTCACAGCAACCTCAAACTCTTGGGTCTTGCTCTCGCTCAGACTGGTCTGGAACTCAAGCAATCCACCTACTCCAGCGTCCCAGAGTGCTAGGATTACAGTTGTGAGCCACCACACCCAGCCTGAAAAGCACTTTTTTTTTTTTT